GTGTGTGTGTGTGTGCGTGTATGTGTGTGGTGTGTGTGTGTGTGGTGTCTATGCGTGTGTGTGTGTGTGTGTGTGTGAGTGTGTATGCGTGCGTGTGTGTCTATGCGTGTGTGTGTGTATGTGTGTGTGAGTGTGTATGCGTGCGTGTGTGTCTGTGCGTGTGTGTGCATGTGTGTGTGTGTGTTTGTGTGTGTATGTGTGTGCGTGTGTGTGCATGTGTATGTCTATGTGTGCGTATGTGAGTGTGAGTGTGTGTATGTGTGTGTTTGTGCGTGTGTGTGTGTGTGTTTGCGTGTGTGTGTGTCCCTACCCACCCCACACCCAGCTGTGTCACACGCGTGGAGTGGGTCCTGCACGGCTGAGGGGGTGGGGGGGGGGTAAGAATGCTGCGTGTGTGCGGGTTTGCACACTCGTGTGCAAGGCACGCTGGGCTCTGTGTGTCTGTGTGTGTGTGTGTGTGTGTGTGTGTGTCCCGTGTGTGCCCCACACGCGTGCAGGCCTGGTGGAGCTGTGCAGGCGCCGTGGGGCGCAGCAATGGAGCTGCCACAGGCACGAATGTGGCACCGGCGGGGCCGACCCGGAGCCTGCCGGACCCCCGGGAGCCCGGGGACCGCGGAGCCGCGGTTTCACACCCCCCGAGGAGGCACAGACCGGATCAGCTTGAGGATCCCGGCGCTCCCTGGGCCATGAGCCACTGGCACAGAGGATCCTGCTGCTCGCCAGGGGCTGTGGCTGGCAGGGGACAGGGTGGCAGGGCCACCGAGCCCCGGGCGTGCGGGGCTGGCAGGGCCACCGGGCGTGCGGGGCTGGCAGGGGACAGGGTGGCAGGGCCACCGAGCCCCGGGTGTGCGGGACTGGCAGGGGACAGGGTGGCAGGGCCACCGAGCCCCGGGCGTGCGGGGCTGGCAGGGGACAGGGTGGCAGGGCCACCGAGCCCCGGGCGTGCGGGGCTGGCAGGGCCACCGAGCGTGCGGGGCTGGCAGGGGACAGGGTGGCAGGGCCACCGAGCCCCGGGTGTGCGGGACTGGCAGGGGACAGGGTGGCAGGGCCACCGAGCGTGCGGGGCTGGCAGGGGACAGGGTGGCAGGGCCACCGGGCGTGCGGGAGGAGCTGAGCAGGATGCGGCACGGCCCGGCCGCCACGCTGCGGGAGCAGCGAGGCTGGAAACGCAGCACGTTCCCCGCCGCTGCCTGTCCACCTCCGCCGGACACATCCTGCCCAGCCGGGCTCAGCCTGGCGCTGCTCAGAGCTGTCCCTTGTCCCCTCCACCCGCGCGGGACACGGCGGATGGAGAGGGCAGGGGGCGGTTCGAGGACAACCGCTCCGCACCCTGGGGATCTGCGGCTCAGCGCCGGCTCGGATCCAGCCCGGCGCTGCTGGAAGTGCAGGATCCCATCCAGCGCAGAGCTTGATGCAGCTCAGCTCCTTCCCTTCCTGGCATTCCCTTTTCCCAGCGCTTCCCGCAGTCCCTGGGTGCCTGACCCAGCGAACCCAGGCAGACACTCTCGCCCCGCGGGTCAGGGCTGGGAGAAAGCAAAGCGGCTTTTGAGGCTGCTCTTTATCCCGAGGAGAAAAGCGGCGTGAGCTCCGCCGGAGCTGGAGGATGTTCCCGAGCCCGGCTCTGTAAATACAGCTCCGTGCGTGAACAATGCCAAAAGCACCGCGGCCCCCTGGGTCATTCCCGGCTTCCCGGGAGGTGTTTGGATTGGGGATTTCCAAAGGGAGCTCTCGCAGCCCCGCGAGGAGCGCGGGATTGGGGTGGGATGCGGGATGCAAGGTGGGATTGGGGTGGGATGGCAGAATGCAAGGTGGGATGCACTGCAGGATGTGATGCAGGATGCAACATGGGATGCAGTGGGGGATGAAGGATGCAACATGGGATGCGGTGGGGGATGAAGGATGCAACATGGGATGCGGTCAGGGATGCAGGATGCAAGGTGGGATTGGGGTGGGATGCAGGATACAATGTGGGATGGCAGGATGCAATGTGGGATGCACTGCAGAATGCACTGCAGGATGCGATGCAGGACGAGATGCAGGATGCAACATGGATGCGGTCAGGGATGCGGGATGCAAGGTGGGATTGGGGTGGGATTGGTGTGGGATGCAGGACGAGATGCAGGATGCAACATGGGATGTGGTGGGGGATGCGGGATGCAACAGCACTGCAACGCAGGTTGCTGTGCAGGATGCAGCGCGGGTTGCAGTGCAGGATGCAGCGCAGGATGCAGCGCAGGATGCAGCGGGGTTGCCGCGGGGGATACGATGCACGTGGGGTCTTCCCTGGAGCTGTGGCACACCCCGGCCGTGTCACTGTCCCCAAGGCCGCCATCCCCCCGCCGCTGCCCGTCCAAGCCGGGAGTCACTCGGGTTCTCTGCGTCCCCTCCCCACCAAGTCCCCTCCGGCCCAGGTGGGCCAGGAGGAGCTGGGGGGCTGCGGTTCTGGGGGGGCTGAGCTGTGGGAGCTGTTACCGGGACAACTGGGAGCTCTCCGGAGCCGCTTGCTGCTGCTGCTGCATCCCCGCAAACCCCAAACCTCCCCCGGCACCGCGGGAGCGCCGCTGCCACCGAATCCTCAACCGGGGGGGTGCTCATCACCCCCCCACCCAGCCCCCCAGGCACTGGAGAACCCCCCCAGGGTGTCCCCAGCTGCTCAGCGTGAGGGGTCTGAGCCTTCATCCTCCTCCTCACCGCCGGGAGCGGCTGGGATGTGGGAAAGCACCGATCGGGGTCTCTCCGGTGCCTGAGGATTCGGGGGGCTGGGCGGGAGCTGAGCTCCTCGCAGGGTGGAATGAGAGCAGCTCGCCGAGGTGGTGACACCGGGGCTCGATGGCTCGCCGGCAATCAGAGCCGTCCATTAAGGCCAGAACCACCCGCCAGGCTGACACGAGGTCCCCGCTGCCAGCGCTGTCGTTCACGGCCTCCAACGCCGCAGGGACACACCGGGACGGCCAAACACCGGCTGAACCCCCGCTCCGTGCCGGCCAGGGGCTCCCCAGGCAGCCGGCGCTGCCGCTTCCAGCGCAGAGCTCTTGTTTCCCCTTCGTTTGGCACAGAAATCAAGGCCAGGCAGAGTCACCGAGGTGGCAGCAGCTGCGTGCCCGGTGAGGATGCAGGAAGAGCCGAGCGCAGCCCCTGGGTGTGGGATGCTCGTCCTGCCCCTCTGGGCTCCATCCCCGGGGATTTTCTCCCCATCCCCGGGGATTTTCTCCCCATCCCAGGGATTTTCTCCCCACCCCGAGCAGGGCAGGGAGCGGCGGATCTCAGGAAGGTGGGAGAGGAGGCGAGGCGGGAGGGGACAGCCGCTTGTCGGAATCGCTTTCCCGTAAAATTTGGCGGCGAATTGCTCCGGCGGGAAAACAAAAAACCAGCCGTAACCAGCGGGGAGTTGGATTTGCGGGATAATCCGCCCTGATGGCAGCAGCACCGCGGGGCTGGAGGGAGCCGCCCTGCCCGCGGCCGCCGCTCCCTCCCGGGGACCTTCAGCGGAGTTTTCTCCCCTTGGCGTCAGGGAGAAAAATCCCGGAAAAAAAAGAGCGCAGGTGATGAGGAGCAGAGGAGGGATAAGGCACGGGATAAATTTCATAAATAAATAAAATAAATAAATTTCACTTTGTGTTGTTTCGGACTAACGGCACAGCCAAAAGAGGCTCCCGGGGCTCTGGAGGTGTGGCTGTGCTCAGGGAGATGGATTTCAGCTCAGTAAGATGGATTTCAGCTCAGCATCCCCATTTTGGTATTCTCAGGCTCTCCGTGCACTCAGGGATGGATCGGGGCTGATCCTGCTCCATCTGTGCCAGGTGAAGTTGTGGCACGGGGCAGGGCAGCACGAAGGGCCCGAGGTGCCAGGCTGGGCACGCCGGGGAGAGATTCTGGGGGAAAATCGGAGGAATTTCTGCGGGGTGAGGTGCTGACCTCCCTGCTGGGCCCGCGGGACTGAGCGATGAGCACAATACCAGTGGGACCACTGGGATTTTTCAGCTCCAGCTGCTTTTTGGGAGATCCCCCCTGACCCAGAGCAGCCTGGCAAGGGGCAATGCCACCCTCAGCCCCTTTTCCAGCGGAGCCATCTCACTGCCCAGCCCGGATCACGCCTGCATTCGAGCAGCCGCTCCAGAAGCCGAGGAACTTTGCATAAATATTCATCTCGATTAATAAACATGAGGGCTGCAGAAAGGCCGGCTGCAGCGGCAGCAGCGGGGTGGCAGCGGCTGCTCAGCCCCGCAGGAAAGGAGCTCAGCCCCGGCACCGGATGGGTTTTGCACAGCAGGAAAAAACAGAGGTTGGATGCTGGGAAAGGCTGGATGTTGGGAAAGAGCTCGGCCGCCTCCTTTGTCCCCTCGTTAGCCAGGGG